TCTGCGTCTGCGTCAACGTGTACGCCTACGTCTACGTCTACGTCTACGTCTATGTCTATGTCTACGTCTACGTCTACGTCTACGTCTACGTCTACTATTACGTCTACGTCTACGTCTACGTCTACGTCTGCGTCTACGTCTACGTCTACGTCTACGTCTACGATTACGTCTACGTCTACGTCTACGTCTACGTCTACGTCTACGTCTACGTCTACGTCTACGTCTACGTCTACGTCTACGTCTACGTCGACGTCGACGTCGACGTCCTACGTCGACGTTGACGTTGACGTCGACGTCTACACATCTACATCTACGTCTACGTCTACGTCTACGCCACGGCCTACGTCTACGTCTACGTCTACGTCTACGTCTACGTCTACGCCTGCGTCTACGTCTGCGTCTACGTCTGCGTCTACGTTCATGTTTACGTCTACGTTCACCTTTACGGCCTACGTCTACGTCTACGTCTACGTCTACGTCTACGTCTACGTCTACGTCTACGTCTACGTCTACGTCTACGTCTACGTCTACGTCTACGTCTACGTCTACGCTTACGTCTACGTCTGCGTTTGCGTTTACGTCTGCGTATGTGTCTACGTCTGCGTCTACGTGTACGTCTAAATCTAAGTTTGAGTTTAAGTCCAGGTCGACGTCGACGTTTACGTCTACGTCTAGGGTTTCGTAGTAGTAGTAGTAGTAGTAGTAGTAGTAGTAGTAGTAGTAGTAGTAGTAGTAGCAGCAGTGACAGACGTCGGCGTCGACGCAATGCGACGTCGACGTCGACGCAATGCGACGATGTGGCACGGACAGTGAGATCAAGTCGTGGTGCTTTCGACCGGGTTCAGCGTTGTCGACATCCACACCGGGGGTCCCGACGGAGGGGCCGTGGTCTCCCACTCGGCGATTATTTCTTGTTGGACCGCCTGCTGCAGCTGCTCCGCGGCCAGAGGTGCGGGACTGCGACCGCTGTTTGGGTTCCAATCCTCTGGTCTTACCACCGCTGGGTCGGCTGCTCTGGCGAGCCGCGCGCCCACCTGACGTCGGAGCTACTGGCGCTCCTGGACATCCCCGAACTGCTCCCATCCAGCAACGTCTTTGCCGTAGATGCGGACTTGGAAGCTTTCGCCTTGCGTGTCCTCGACTTGCGCGAGGACGGCTGCTTTTCCGCACTGTTCAGGTCTTCTTGGGATCCAGCCGCGGGGCGGCAGAGGGGACTCTCCAAATTGTCGCGTGGTGGTGCCTCTACCACAACACCTAGCTTCACGCTGGCTCCAAGAAGTCGGTGGTGCTCGTGGTTGGGTCGGACACGGCGGTGCAGGCAGCCTACAGCGGTGTGCCACTGTTGCTGCCACGGCTGGGCACGGTGACGGGCATTTCCTTGGCTTTCTCCTCTCAGCATTGCTGGTCGGTTCTGGCCTGGCGCCCTGGTTTGGATATGGCGCCGATGTTCCAGGAACGGCTCGCTGTGGCAGAAGCGGTGTGCGCATCCATCGTCGGCCTGGTGGCGAGTGGGGATCTCCCCCTGGCTCTTGCACTGGCCGTTTTCGAGGCAAATGTCGAAGGCGTCCTCTTGGCCTCGCGGTGGCTGCGGTGTGTGGCTCCCTGGAGGAGCTCTGCAAGGCACACGCACGATGGGCTAAAGCCATCCTTGGTGGCGCGCCATTGAGGAATTCGGGGGTGGCGTTGTGCGAAGTGGATCGGGAGCTCGGCGGCAGCGAGCGCGCCGTCTTAGACGTATGCCGCCGACGAGCCCGCCTGTTCATCCTCCCGGAGGATGATTTCTACTGGCGGCCCTTCTGAAGGGCGCGGCCGCTTTTCGTCATGGTCCTCCGCAGTTTGGCGGTGCTCCAACAGTACTCGCTGCTCGACTGGCCAACCTTGTCAGACCATGGAGCTGCGCTGGGGCCTACTGCGAGGCGTGCCGGCGCCTGCTTGCAGCCAGATGTGCATCGCGGTGGACAGTAGATGCAAGTGGCCGTGTGAACCTAGTGAGGCACCGGCGGCCCATCTTCGGGTAGGGTACCGCCAGGGGCGACGCACCCGAGCGCAGGTCCAATCCCGTGCCTTGTACGGGTCGCGCATTCTCGCAGGCACGACGCATGCTGTATTCCTGTGTGGGGCGCCCGCTGGGCCGCAGGATGAGCTCGCTGCTGCCGTGGGTGCGGGCGCGCTGAAGCAGGGCTCGCGGGGTGCCCTGTGGAATCTTGGGAACCTCTCGAGGAGTGGTGGGTGCGGATATCTGCCCGCCCCCGAGGGCGGGACGAAAGCATCCACATTCTGTCGCCGCCGTTGTCGCGCCAGCGTCGCCACCACCGCCTTCTCCTCTCGCCGCTGCCGCCGCCACCACCGTCGCCGTCGCCATCGCCGTCGCCTTCGCCGTTGTGCCTGCCAGGCGCCGCAGCGGGGGGGGCGCCGGGCACTGCGCCGCCGGCAGCGCGGGGAGCAGCGGGCGCACGGCGGGGTTGTCGAGTCTGGCGCCCTCGCGGCCTCGGGTGTGGCGGCGCCGCCCCGCTTTGGGGGCAGGGTTGGCGGCGCCCTTGCGTGGGGGGGGCGCGAGGGGGGTGGTCTATACCAAGGAGGCGGATGGGGCTTCTTAGGAGGCAGGGGCCTTCTGAGAAGTCCCTGGAGGCTTCTGGCGCGGCTTCTCAGAAGCCGAGCTGGCTTCTAAGAAGCCCCCCACCCTGCCTTCTTCGACGCTAGGCCAGCCCGCTCGCGCCACCCACTTCTGGGCGCCGCCGGAATGGGAATCGAGGATCGAGGAGGAGGGAGGGCTGAGCATCGAGGAGGTTTTGGGCGTCTTGGGGCGTCCGTTTCCTGGAGGAGGTGGCGACCCCTTGTGGTGGCCCCCCCTTGTGTTGCTTTCGGCACGGAGGAGGGGGATCCTGGATGATACTGTACCCAGACTTTTGGCGGATGTTTCTCTCCAACCGCGGCGGTTTTCCTCGCCTTTCGGCCTCCGGGTGCCGTTACTGACAGGGCCCCCGGGCCATCAAAAAAGTGGGCCCAGGGCGAGACACGGCCCCCTGGGGGAGGCCGGCCAAAAGTGGGTCGGGAGCCCCAGGGCAGCGGGTCGACAAGAATCGGGTATAGTCAGGACCCCAGTTCAGGGGAGCCGGTCAGCGATTGGGGCCCCGAAGCCCAAAACATAGGCCGGAAGTTGGTGTTCTTCGGGTGACGGCATTTCTGGTCAGTGGAATGTGGTGGGGGGATCGTCCTCCGGTGCGCATCACTGAACCAGGCCCCAGTAAACCCAGTCCTGCCAACGCCCGACGAAAGAACACATCATCGGATATCTGTGGAGGACATGGCTTCAAATGGTCTTTCGCTGGTCTCGGGCTCCCAGGGTCCTCCCTGGGCTCCAGGGCCGTCCAAGATCAAGTCGGGATGAGACGTCGGACCTGAAGAAAGCTCAGGCGAAAGTATGCTGCTACACATGAGTTCGGTGCCAGTGAAAACAGTGAGAGGAAAGCAGGTTGGACCCATCAGTTGAGCAGCCTCGATCAATGAAGTCGAAGATATCGTGCTTCCTTTAGACCCGCTTCCGTCAGGTCCCTTTTTCAGGCAGGCATCGGATAAGAATGCATCGCTCCAGAGCGTTTCGCCGGACCGCTCTCAGAGCGTTCTGGAACGCTCGGAAACGGCCGCGGCGCTCGAATCGTCCGCAAGACCTGCCAGCTCTCAGCGATTCCAGATGTACCCTCATTCGACTTTGTTCTCGCCCTGCCTTCGCCTTAATTGCCTGAAGTGCATCCCCGCTCCGAGGATCGAGGCTTGAAGGTCAAGGTTCGAGATTCTCGGGCGTGTGCGTTTGGCCCTCTGCTCTGGGGCTCCTAGGTCCTCCGCAGAGGCCCTCCGGTACCTCAGGGGCACCGCTGGAGGGGCAGCTGGAGGTCTCCAGGGAGCTACGAGGACCATCGGGCAATTTTCTGTGGTTTTGTTTGTCTTTGACTTTGGTGTTGTTTCTGTTTTGTTGTTGTTTTTGTTTATGCTTTTATTTGTTTGTTCGTTCGTTCGTCTGTCTGTCTGTCTGTCTGTCTGTCTGTCTGTCTGTCTGTCTGTCTGCCTGCCTGTCTGTCTCTGTGTTTGTTTCCAACCATCCTGTGGTGTGGGGTCCTCGTTTTGAAGAGACAGTGCCCGAGTTCCTCTCCTCCTCCTCCTCCTCCTCCTCCTCCTCTTCTCTTTATCATCATCATCCTCCTCCTCATCATCATCATCATTATCATCGTCATTACCATCATTATCACTATCACTATCATCATCACCATCATCATCTCCATCGTTATCATCATCATCGTCATCATACTCAACATCATCACCGTCATCCTCATCATCATCATCATCACCATCACTAGCATCATCATCACCACCATCATTATCATCATCATCATCACCATCATCATCATCACCACCATCACCATCACCATCATCATCATCATCATCACCATCATACTCATCATCATCACCATCACCATCACCATCACCATCACAGTCATGATCATCATCATCACCCACAATCATCATCATCACTATCATCATTATCATCACCATCACCATCATTATCATCAGCAGCATCATCATCATCACCATCATCATCACCACCACTGCCACCATTATTATCGTCATCATCGTCACCATCATCATCACCATCGTCGTCATCATCATCATCATCCTTATCATCATCATCATCATCATCATCATCATCATCATCATCATCATCATCATCATCATCATCATCATCATCATCATCATCATCATCATCATCATCATCATCATCATCATCATCCTCATCCTCATCCTCATCCTCCTCCTCCTCCTCCTCCTCCTCCTCATCATCATCATCATCATCATCATCATCATCATCATCATTATCATCATCGGGAGCTCCACCGATGGCCCCAGTGGCAGGGTTCGCATGGCAGCCCCGCCCCATTTCGGCACACCTCTCACGCGTTTCGTGGCCCCATAGGGAGCCTGGCAGAAGGCCCCAGAGGCAGGGTTCGCATTTCGGCGCCGCTCCATTTCGGCACACCCCTCACACGTTTCTGGTCCCAGAGGGAGCTCCACCGAAGGCGCAGTGGCAGGGTTCGCAGGGAGCTCCCTCCCCACTTAGCCACACCGCTCACACGTTTCGTGGCCCCATGGGGAGCTCCACCGAAAGCTGCACTCATAATGCGGTACCCACATTTGGACATGGTTGGGCCCTTTGCCAGGATAATTTGTTTCTTTTGTTGTTTGTTTGTTTTTTTGGCCTAACCCCTTTCCCGTGGGGGGCCCTCGCGACCACGGCTCGGCTCGCCCAGGGGTCCTGGTCGTGAGGAGCGTGCTGCAGGGCGCTTCCGGGGATCGGCTCTGAGGGGGAGGGGCCAGGGCTCAGGCGCCGTGGGGCTGGTCTCTCCCCTTGGCCTGGGGCTCTGGAGGCCCTCTTCGGGCCGAAGTGACAGCGTCGGGTTAAATTTCATTATGAAAACCGTTTGACAGAGGAGCGAAGCGATTACAGAGTGATACGAGTTTTTCGAAGATAACTCGGGTAGGAGGCAGATCTCAGGTCCCTCGAAGCTACAGGTCGAAGCTTCCGATGCTGCTCAGTCGTTTCGTGCAGTCAAGAGCTCTATAGCTGCCCAAAATCTTGAGATCAAGTCCGCCAACCGAACGCATGCAACAATATGGTCCCCAAACATGATGTCGGGGTGGTGTTCCAAGAGTTCCAGAGGCGCGCGTTGTGGGTCAATCACAGAGTCGGAGGTGATCATGTCAATCCTTTTTTCCTATCTCTCTCTCTCTCTCTTTCTCGCTCGCTCTTTGACCTTCCTCTCCTGCAGTCGCGCCGCTTTCACTAGGGTCGGGCGCGCGCCCCGCTAGTCTGGGCGGCGCTGTTGCGGATCCCCGCTCCGATCTTGCGCTCTCTCTCTCTCTCTCTGTCTCTCCCTCTCCCCCTTTTTTCCGCGCTCTCCCTCCAGTATCCAGCGTTTTCACTCTTCATCTGCTCGTTCTGCCATGAAATCGTCTGTGCTTGTTAGCTGTGCAAGCGTTGCGGGCCGACGCGCAAAGGCAGAGAGAGAGAGAGAGAGAGAGAGCGAGAGAGAGAGAGAGAGAGAGCCTGGGTAGAATTCGTAAGGGTCTCTTCCCAGCCGCCAAGATGCCCCCAAGGCAGTGCAGGCTTTCCCTCGTGATCCTTGATCACCCTCCTTCTCCTCCTCCTGCTTCTCCGTCTTTTGACATTCCCCTGCAACAGCGCCTTAGAGTAGACCTCCTAGATCCTTCTCACAATGCTAAGACCGTCTACGTCCTGTCTCCCTCTCACCCATCCTGTCTCCATTCTGTCCTCCCTCCTCCCTCGTCCTTCATGCAGCCGCCGTCCTGGCTCAGGGGCCCCGGGTGCAGCTACCCCGTAGCTGCGCGCCCCTCAGGACGGGCGGCCATACGCGCCAGCCAGGGCCTCCTCGGCGCTCCCTGGCAGGCCGTGCCGCCGCTGACGCGTGGCCAGCGCCACGGGCCGTCAGCCCTACTCCAGCGAACCCGCCTGGCATAGGCGAGCTCGTGAACGCCGCAGCCAGGCTCGCGTGCTGCTCAGAGTGGCCTCGGCGCAGGCCACGCTCGCTCAGCACCACAGCAGCCCAGAGTACGTGCACATGTCCAGCAAGGCATCATGGCAGCGCGCCGCCTCTTCGTGGTTTTGTTCGCGCTGTGGGGTTTCACATGCTGCTTCTACGGCCTGGTGCACAACCTGCTATCCCGATCGCAAGGGATTGAGCCGTCGCCCCTGGCGCCGCGACCGCTCTCTGTCCCGCGCTGCTTCACGAGGTGCTCAAGATCGAGAGCCCTCCGAGGCGGCTTCTCAGGCTGCCAGTCAGCCCAGCCTATCCACTACAAGGAGAGTGGCGACGCTCGAAGAAGCCAAGGCACACCGCCTCTGGACCGAGCCACCGCCGCTCGCAGCCGACAGAGAGGCTCACAGAGCCCACCTGAAGAGTGCCATGCGTGCAGTGGAGCAGCAGATATTGGCACAGGAGAAGCTCTCCACCGACGCTCCTCTTCTGGAATCCAAGCGCATCGAGCACTCGGTATACCAGTTCATGCACCTGTACTCGTACCCGTCGAAGGAGAGGGTCAGCAACCAGCAGGCGTACCTCGAACGCATCAGCAAGCGCTTCGAGGCAGCCCAGGAGTCAGAACGTCAGGCAGAGGCGGCGTTGACAGCCGCACAGAGGCATCGCGAGGCCATGTCGCTGGAACTCAACCAGGCGACCTCGCTGCTGGAGGGTTTCAAGGCGTTGGCCGAGCAGGAGAGCTCTCACAGGACCGTCACGTTCGAAGAGACGCCCACGCCAGCCTCGGCGGCGACTCCTTCCCCACAGCCACCGTCGCCTTTCGCGCCGCCAGCATCGGTGCCGCCTCAGGTCATTGCCGACCTACAGGCCAATCAGAGTGCTATGACGTCTGCACTGACTGCGCTGCAGGGCTCCATCGTGACGATTCAAGCGACCCTGAGTCAGCTAACTA